AACATCTTAAAAGACATAACCATGCCGCAGGAATAACCCATCAAATGTTGGGAAAGCGCCAGGAAAACCGGACTCTCTACTTTCAATGTTCTCCGGCAGGTTTCTTGAAAATGATAGCCTCTTTGGCACAGGGCAATATCATCCGACAGCCTGTCCACCACAGACATAATACCCCCTGTGGCCAAGTGGCTTTGGTCGACTCCTTGGGATTCGAACATTGACGTTCATCGTCCGTTCTCGTCCGATTACCGTAGTAAGCAGCATAGGGCGTGGCTAATAACCTGGATGGGTGAACGTTTGGAAAACCGCGTGTTGTTGGTATCTTGTAATACCCCCATAGGGAAGGTTACCCTAGACAAGACCTATCATCAGCTTAGGAGTTTATGGGTAACCGATGAGGAGGCAATGTTCCCCTTTTCCCCTCCCTTTATTTAGGATACAATTACAGTTGGTCTGAGAAGAAATCAGATTGATTATACTGTACGATGTGTTTTCCCCAAAAATCTGGCCAGAAACATCGAAAACTTGGGACCTTTTGGTGGATTATCGAGCAGATACAGAAGGTAGTTCTATAATCAACCTGTGGGATAGTATGGCTCGAACTGATGGAGACATGAAATTTATTTGTTGTTGTTGGTATTTAATGTTGTATATACATAGGGGGGGAGAGAGAGTGAAAGAGAGAGAGAGAGAGAGAGAGAGAGAGAGAGAGAGAGAGAGAGAGAGAGACAGAGAGAGAGAGAGTCTTTTTGTCTTTATTTTTATGGGCTCATTGTGGCGTACGAAAGCAGTACTGTCAGAGTTGGAATCAGCAACTCTCTTATGCAAAATGACTATGAGCTCTTTTTACGAGTGAAATTCAATTATTGATAAATGAATTCGAATTCGTTTTTGGAACGGCATTGTAATGTTACGAGTTTCGGTTACGTCAGAGATCGTGAGGTCGGAGAGACTAAAAACGCGACTCCCACCGGGGCAAATGATCTCCGTTGGTGTACGGATGGAACTTGAGAAAGTTTCCGGGTCTCGCCGGACGCTTCCCGGTCGCCGCGCCGTTGATGCCTCTGGCCTACTTTTACCCATCGTACTCTGGAAAACACGTGAAAAATCATTTTCCCAATTTCGTCCTCGTACGTGGCGAGCATGCACGTAATTTAATGTACCTCAGTCTGAGTAAAAACGGGAAAAACCTTTTTATCGGGACATTCCTTTGCCTGGCAAGAATCTGGACTTCTTGCCACTTCTCTCTGGATTTTACCTAGTAACTACTTCAATATTGTTAACCTAGTAACTTAATACTTTGTATTGGTTGTACTGTATAGGATAACCGAGTGGAGGCTTTATGAATAGAATGGACGGTTGTTTGATCTCGATAATTGGCTATTTCACTGGTATTGTATGTATGTAATATTGTAAGTAGTTAATCTTTTTATGTAAGGTTTTGGTTGAAATGAAAAAGCTAATGTCACGAGCGGGATTCGAACCTTCGGCTCAATACGCCGCTGCTCTAACCACTTGATCTATTGTTACTTTGATCCACTCGGACACCAATTCTCCATCTCAGTCTACAACCTTTCGAATTTTCCTTCCTTTTTGCCATTTTTCAAATACCGTGTAATCAGGAGTCAATTCTCGGCGACATATGAAATGGCCACAAGGAGCTGTTAGTGAAGTTATACTTCATTTTACTTTATTAAATCCATTATATTTAGAGGTCTATTGATCAAATTACTTCTTTCAATTAATTAATCGTTTTATGTAAGGCTTTTGTTGAAATGAAAAAGCTAGTGTCACGAGCGGGGATTCGAACCCAAGACCTTCGCTTCAATACGCCGCTGCTCTAACCACTTGCACTATCGTGACTTCGATCCACTCGGACACCAACTCCCATCTGATCCTACATCCTTTCGAATTGAGGATTTCCTGCAAGTGTAATGCTACCTTTATGGAGATCCGTTAATGGCTTTGATGTTTATTGGCAGAGTTGTACACATTTTGTGTACACTCTTGTGTAATCCGCGGTTTCAGCGGATCCTCCTTCAGTTCGCTGATTTATCTGAGCATTGTGCGGCTCAAATTGAATTTTTATAAACTCGATACACACTGTCGATCGTGTGGGAAGTGCTCACTGGAGCGTGAATCGTCCCTCTTCCTGATCGGCCACGTTTCAACCGATACCTTGTCCAGAGTGCTGTGAGTTCAACCGTCGAAATACCGTAACTGGAAGTCTTGTAGAATATTTGCAGCACTGAAAGTTTTTTGTATTATATTGACTTTCCTTATGTACGTAACTGAAGTGGTTGAATGGCAAGCGATTATTTTATGTAAATCTTGTAACTTGCAACATGTGCATCGTGTGGGAAAACTTGTCTGCCTTTCAGTTATTAAATCTTATGTTCAGATGTTGTAGGTAAATATGCCAGTAATGCAAGAACACATAAATCATATAAAAGAACCGTAATTATATGTGAAAGGCAAGCTTCAAGCATGAATTTTTACGAATAGCGAGAAGATATCAGTAAGTGATTAATTACTGACTTATATAATTATTGTGTGACATTATATACCATTCACTCAGTTAGGGTGGTGGAGTGCTTGGTTTGCCTCTACATCTTCTTCACATATTATATAACTAACCTGTTGATGGGATATTCAATATTATATAATATCTGCCCCCAAATACTATACATTTACACTAATAAATACCTACATTCTCAACATACACTAAGAAACACAAGACGAGATATATAAATAAGTACTATATATAGTAAAACAGGGCTATTTCTTCTAAAGATCGGAACAGGGAGGACCCAGATACGCGCTGCCCTGCTCAAACATAATTTTCATATCGGACAGTACTCCTAAACGCTCTCTATAAGAAGCCAAGGAGTGGCACCCTTCGATTAAGTGGGACACATTAAGCTACCTTTTCCTACATTCCAGAAACATACGCGAGCTTTGGCCCAGAAGGAATGACCATGTGTCAACCTCGGATGACCTATGCTTATCCGGGTGAAGACGATCATTCTTCTATGAGTAAGATCCTCCGAAGATTGTTTATTGATAGAGATCTTCTCTGCCGATCCAGTTCATCTACCATACATCATGTTTTTTATTGCATTTTTAAGCGATGAATTATATCAATTCACAGGAAGTGGTGACTTTTAATTATCAATAGTATGTCATTAAACAAATCATAGCATGTGCATACCTATCCCGTTTGACGTACATTTCATCATAGGTCTTTTAGTTATCGTGTCGCTCATCTTGATTGCGTTTTTGGTTTGGTAAACGTAAAGCGATGTGACATTAGTACTTTGGGCGAATACACTATTGCACACACGCGAACTAACACGCACGCACGAAAACATTTTTCATTCTTTCTTGTCTTTCTAGCTGGACATTTGTTCACGGATTGTCGTTCATATGATTAATAATATTAACAAATTAGGTTAATGGATTTTTTTCACTAGATTCTGAACACAATGAGTGTAGTGTGTTCTCATTGAGAGTAAAATATAAGGTTAATTAATTTAATTGTTCTTTATATTTCTTTTGTTGTGTGTGAATAAGGACCATTTTTTTACTCAACATTCTTTTGGTCAAAATAAGCAGACCCTTAGCGAGTTATGGCCCAAAAAAGAAAAATTGTAAAATGATGAGAGGACTGCACCCTTCGTTCCTTGTTAAAATACAAGGAAGGCTTCCTTTTTTTCGAAGGAAATGGAAGTATTGCATGTTGGGTTCCGGGAGAGAGTGCTGAAAAGCCGTGTCAACGTTGTGGCCACCGACGCCCCTCTTATAACCCTAACGATGTGGCGATGGTGGATTCTTAGTTTTCCTTTTCTTTAAAACTTTCCATGTTTCTTAGCTCAGTGCAATCAACTCGATTCGATTCCTCAGAAATACTATGTCATTGACTGCGTTGACTGAATTTTCTATTTTCCCTTCGATATGTTTCCGTTGAGTGATTGCTTAGTATTCGAAGATGATATGGGTGGCTGTTTCTTCCTCCTCTTGTATATCCTACAAATGGTGTCAGCATTGAATATACCCATGTTGGGTAGATGTTTTCTAACTAGTGACCGATGTGAATGCCTTGTCACTCTTCTGAGTTTAGCCCTCCCTAACTGTAGCGGTAAGTTTGCCAATCTCGGTGAGAGTTGTTTTAGCAGAAGCTTGCATCTAGTACCTCTAGAGTCTAGAGTTTATCCACTTCGCCTTTTCTATTTTTTGGATCCATTCTGTGATCGTTATCCCTAAAGAGTTGAACCCATAAACCTTAACCTTAACATGGTATTATTCAGTGTAATTTTATCAAATTTTGTAGTAATTACTGATCGATCGGGTGCCATACTGGAAATCCCGATCAAAATTCTCGTTCATAACCAATCCTTGAACCTATCTGGGCATACAATTAACGGACTGTGCTATAGAGGATAACATAGCGATGTTATTGGGTTGTCCGGAAAATAATGCAGGATTTTAAGTTTTCATTAAAAAAAATCTATATAAAATATTCTGTTTACGTTTACAGGATTACTCATTNATTATTTTGATTAAAGAACATTGCTTTAAAGTAACTAGTTTCTTTTTTTTTGTTTAATACCAAAATCCTGCATTATTTTCCGGACAACCCAATACAAAAATTTTAAAACTGCGTATTAACGGACAGGGTTTATGCTCCTTGTGTCTGAGGATGTGGAACATCTTTTTTGCTGAGGTGTTCCCCATATGCTTAAAAGCATAAATCTCGTCTACAAGAACATACAAATATCTCGTGAGGAAGCCTTACGAACCTGCTTACCAGGCTTCATTTTATACTTTAATAAACTAAAAAGTCTACCAGTGGGCAACCAAAATTTTACTATTGTTTTGTATTCAAGTTGTTACAAATAAATCGATTATAAAATAAGTGGCAACATTCAGGTCTAAATGTTCATCTGTTGTTTTGTTAATAACTTTAATAAATCTTTTTAATAAATTTTAAAATGACCTACCCTCTCCCTACGAGGAGCCGGAGAGCGTCTAGGTGTCCATTGTTTGCCGCCCACAGGGTCGGAGTCATCCCGTCCTCGTCTTTCGCGTTGCATTCCCTCTTCGTCGACTCCTTCAGGATCTCGATGTGTCCGTCCTGAGCCGCCTTGTGGAACCGACCGAGGGACATCTGAAACAACAGAAACCCCCAACAGACAATTTTATAAAATGAACACAAAATAATATAGGACATTTTTATACATTCTTGGGCGATTGGTTTATAATTACAAACTTCGTCTTCTTCTTTAATACGAATTTGTTCATAGAGACAGGGGAGCATTACTATGGTTAGTATTGAGCTATATAAAAGTAACGTGAACTTGAATTTTGGCATGTGTACGTTAAAAAACAAAAAAGCCCGACACTTGTATTTATTAGTTTATTTTTCATAATAACTAAGGTATAAAGATTAATACTTGACATAAAACGTTATGGTATGAGTGGAATCTACCTCCATACCCGTGCCGAACTGATTATCATACAGAATGGATCTTTGACTGCACTTAGGTACGTTGAGGAAGTTCTGGTTGATGTGGTCCCATTTATTGGGGACAACTTCCTGATAATGCACAATAATGTTCGACCGCATATAGCTCGAGTTATCAACCATTACTTGGAGGATGTAGGGTTTACTATACTGGATTGGCTCCTGGCATGAATCCCATAGAACACTTATGGTACATCATAAAGAAACGGGTTAGAATCGTTTCCTGGCTTCGCTCTTGGGATGGAATTCTGTTTCACATGTCGAAATCCGATCGTTTATTTCTTTCAAACAATTTTAATTAAATAATTTTTATTAAAGCTCATCAATGTCTGTTCTCCTTTATAAACACCAAAATACAAATGTCCGATTTTTTTGTCTTTGAGTGCATTACCGCACATGGCATTAAATAAGTTCAACTTCTTTACTTGTTTATTTTGTTTCTCATATTCCTCTCCTGGACAGCAAGGATTCGAGTTGATTGCACACTTTTCTTTCACCCAAATGTTAATAAATCTTTATACTAAATAGATTTCTGGATTAATTTAAAACTCAAATAAATCTTCAGGCTAGCAGCAATTTCAGTTCAAAGTGTATTAACGACGTTTAAGAAAGTAAAACTTCTTCGCATACGACTTTTCAAAATTACTATTATTAGCGGTTTATACATTTTTTCAAATACTAGACATATCGCGGCCACAATAGTGCATGATAAGAGCGAGTGAACTCTTGCAAAAAATTGAGGTTAACGTTGAAAAAGTGCGGATCAACCAGAATGTTTAACGTTTATGACAGGCCATTCTTACTGCAGTGAAAGCTGATTTTGGTGTTTACAGCCGCAAGAACATAATGTTATACTATACAATACAAGGCCAATAATTGCGTCAATGTACTACTTCCATAACCCCTTTGTTTTTCAGATTTACATTATGAGATACTTTTGTTTTGCTGAGCAGTTTCCCCTTACAGAAGGTCTTTTGCAAATGTGTTGAGATTTTTAAAGTGATGTGGCCTTTTACGACTAGTATAGAGTGTTATCTCCATTGTGGTAATAATTATGCGTTATTTAGCTATTTTTGTACAACTTTCTCTATCCAATGAGGAGTGCGTTAAGCCCCAGGGAAGGCCGAGGAGTCACAAACGTTTTCATGCTCGGCAAGTCTGTCTACTCGCTTGGCAAAGAATATTCTTTTTACACTTGATTTGATGCGCTACGGTGTCCGATTTTACCCTAAATGACCAAGAATAATAGTACTTATGTAATTACAGAAAATACGATAGAAAGGAAACTTTAAAGTAGATTATTTTGGTTAATGTTGCCATTGCTCACTCTTTTGCAATCTGAACAACATGGACACCCTGAATAATTTGAATAAATCTCACCAAATAATATAAATATATGATGAATAAATCAATCAAATTTTAAGATTAAGATTGATATTAAGGTAAATTAAAGGTTCACGAAATTTACTCAGGAAATCATTTATAGTGGATGAAATGGGCCAATTGAACATTTAGAGATAATAGAAAAACATGTTTTTTCTTAAATTAAAAATAACTTTTAAGGCAAAGAGCTGAGATTTAGCCAATGCATGTTTTTTTTTTTTGGTGTCACCCTCTGCCAGCAGCGAGCTTAAGTTCATTGGCCTTTTCACTTGCCCCAGAGCGTCCAATTCTTTCTGAAATTGTTCTCGCTGTGCCTCATATTCGGTGCATTGTAATATTATATGGTCAAGGCTCTCTTCTACATCGCACGTTGCACAGTTTGGCGATGTTCTACAGTTAATCCTGTATAAATATGAACCGCAGATGCCATGGCCAGTTCGGAGTCGTGTAATTGTTGAGAAGAAAGCTTTTCCTCTCTCTATTTCTTGAAACCACGGCTTCTTTTGTAATGTTGGGAATAATGACCGGTAGAAATTCCCTGCTGTGCCCGTATCGTACCAGATTTGCCACTTTCTGCACACGTCTCTTTTTATATTGTTTGTCACGTCTCCGACGGTTAGCTGCACAGGCGTGGGAGAACCTTTAATGGTTGCCTCCTTGGCTAACTGGTCGACTCTCTCATTATGTTCTATACCTGCATGCCCTTTTATCCAGCATATTACAATGTTTTTGCCTTGATTCTTTAATTTGAAGGTTAATCTGACAATTTCGATTATAATGTATTCATGCTTAATATGAAAATTGAAAGTGCGTAGCTGGCATATCGTGCTGAGGCTGTCCGTCTTAATCCCAATTTTTTTATTTGGTATCCTCGCGGCCTATTCCAGCGCTTTCAGAATGGTTATACCTTCTGCGGTGTAAGAGCTAACCAGATTCGCAAGTAGATGTTCCTCGTTATACTTGTTCAGGCTGTCATAAAATGCACAACCCGTTTAGCCATTAAGTTTTGATCCGTCTGTCAAGATGAGGAGGTGATCTGGGAATTTTTCGCAGCTGTCTGCCTTGAAATGCATTTCTGCGTGATTGGCTGGGAGCCCTGTATAATTAAGTTCTTGACAATTGATTTCGCTTATTATTGCTTGATATTCCAGCGAGAAGATTGGTAGTATCGGATTTTTGTAAACAGAATATATTATTGGGACTTCACAGTGGTTGCCTTAAATTGAGAGTGAGCATCTATCCTCCTTGTTTTCCGTTTGGTCTGACAAACCATACGTAATTTTTAAGAGGTTAAATTCCTGATTCTTTAAATTATATTACTAAAAATTGAACCTAGGCAGTCAAGAAATGATCGGAAATGACCAAACTATTAGAAATGAGATATTTTAAGCAACGGAGTCAGATTTAAATTCCCTAACCTGAAGGCAATATCTACCTTTAATTACTGTATTTTTTTAAATTGAATTACTTTCGCAGCGGAAGTTTTTAAGTCATAAGTTATCAATATTATTGCGAAGTTAGAACTTCGTTCTTCATATTTTAACTTGCCTTATTTTAACTGTAATTTCTTGGATTCGTTATTCAATATTCTCCTAGCAGTAGTTACAGATGTTTATCAGCGTCGCTTACATCCTATATTTTGGGCAGGTTACATCGTTCGACCTCTAAATGACACAAAAGAAGGAACGGAACTCTTCTTAGGGATACTGTCAAAATTGCCTGTGAAGCGTTTCCTTTCGGCTTTTTGTCCCTCCGCCGAAGCCGATCAGTGGGAACGCAAGAGGGGCTACCGTTCCTTCTTAGGCTCCGTCTTTTCTTTTCGGGCCATAAAAATATTTCTGGACGGCCCCGAGTTGCGCAAGCCGGCGGCCGACTTGGGATTACGCAATTACCGATTCCCCGATATGAGAGGACGGTGAGAGTGAAAATTAGCCCGGCACACCTGGTAAACTCGGTGATTCATTCTTGCTTGATCGATCCTCGAGGACGAAACCGCGAGTGTAACTTAAACCCATCGAAAACGAACACACAGGGGTCGATAAATGTCTGTACAAGAAGTTCAAAGGAATAAAACGGAAACTAGAAACAGTACATGTACATTCAAATCCTTATTCTTGCGATTGCTGTGGAACAGCAGAGGCGTCTTTCATTTTAATTACTTATTAATCCCTAAATTTTATCAGAAGGATTAGCACTGTTATATCATCACTTAGGCAATTGGTTTTTCCAGTTGTAGTAATGTGGGTGTTTTCCAAGCGGCACCCCTAGCTCCATTGCTATTCGCTTTATACACTGCTGACATTTCTGTTCTCCCCAACAATCTAAGGACTTTTCTGGACGACGGACATCCTGCCACCTGTTCCTTCCCTGGCTATTACTAACATCTCAACCTCTTCACGTCTCATCGTCCTCCAAAAATTGTCTTTTTCTATTTCGTTTCGAAATAGAAAACCCGTTCTTCCGATACTGCGAATTGCCTGGCATGCCGACGTAGAAACCTCATACTCGGCGGAAAAGGAAAAGAAAGATTATTGATCTCCCTCCACCACTACATGAGCCCGGAACCTACACTTGGGATAACAAAAACAAATACATCCTCCATCAGAGAATGGATCCATATAAAACAAAAAAGGAGAAATGGATAAACTCTAGCGGCGCTAGATACGGTAAACTTATACTAAAACAACCTTCAACAATACTGGCAAACTTACTGCAGCAGTTGGAGAGGGACTAAGAGGAGGACTATTAACAGGTCCCTGGCATCTGAGAAAACATCTACATAACATGGTCATAATAATAATCCCATTTGCCGGTTATGTAATGAGGAGGAAGAAACAGCCACCCATATCATCTTCGAAGGAGAAGTAACGGCTCATAGAAGACATCACCAAGCACACAGAAAAATCCTGAGGAATGAAGTTGTAGCAGCAACAGTCAATGACCTAATACTTCTGCGAAGAAGGATTAAGTCGATTACACTGAACTGGGGAATTTTGAAGGTACAATAAGCCAGAAGGCTGCAATGCCTGGGGAGCACAAACCCTGCTTCCTACTATCCTCCTCCTCCTCATCATCAATAGATTTTATGTAAATATTTTTGTCGTTTGACCAGCCGTGAATCTAAGTTTCTATAAAGGAGGGTTGTTGTGTCTAACGAAAGTTACACATCATTAATTACTATTACACCTTTAAAAGACTGCATGGATCACATGATATAAACTTTTTGAGCTGGTAAATTTTGCGTTGCTTTAACCTTATAT